ATTGGGTATATTTTAAAAATTTTTATTACTAATAAATGAAGATATCCTACTTATTATTGGCCAACTCTGAAAATTTATCCCGATGAGCTTTCGCAAAACGTTAATGAATGCATAATGAAAATCGAGTACCTTAGACAAAAAAGAAACAACTTAAAATCCTTCGGTATTTTTAAATCGTAACATTAATATTTATTGATAATTATGTGTAATTACCGATGGCCTTCTTTTTCCGATTTTAACTTTTGCAATTGTTCGAAAAAGTATTTCCAAACGAAAGTATGCGGTCACTTATCTAATAAACGATAATTCGTTATGAAACCTGTCGAATATTGTGATTCCGACGGCGATTTCTCCAATCGATTGGACTCTTTTATTTATTCTTCTTTCTCGAATTATTAATTACAAGTGATTGATTGATGATCGAAACAATTGCACGATCGTTTAACAAAAAGAACGAAATGTAATTTCTGCATAAATTCTGATCGTGCGTAACCGAAGTTGTGGTTCGATTTCGTTATGCAATTTTCGGTTTGTTTATTAGCCGGTATATTCAGAATCGACTAATTGGATTAGCTGTTTAGAGATCTGGTTCGCGATAACATTATGTCAAATAAATTGTCCCTCTTTATTTCCGTATTAATGATAATTTGAAATTAGTTTACGTTTCGATATATTTATTTATGGATAGTAATTCATTTTTAATTTTTTCTGTTGAAATATTTTGTTGTAGGAATTTTTTAAAAGGTGAAAATTAGTTTAAGTCTATTAATTTAAATATTAAATGTATAAATGAATTTTAAACAGGATACAATATCTTGTAATTATTAATCATATTTAACATATGCAGATTATAATATTGATATAATTCCAACTGACTGGAAAATACATCTGGATGTTGCGTAACACTTAATAAGAAAATTGCGCAAACTTAACGACTTTTTTTAATTTTTTCGTTTAGACCAAATTCATTATCCAAGTTTATTGGATTATCTCTAAAGAATAATAGGTTTACGATATTGGTAATATGTAAATACCATAAAAATACGCTCTAAATACTGACAGATCGAATCACTTAGCCAACGGTAAATAATACATCGACCATAAAAAGTCTCCGGAGGCAGGTAAAGGTCGATGGCATCTCCGGTTTCCAAAACAAATTCGGCTCGATAATAAAGCCCTTCGAGGCCGAAAGAAAGGAGGATTATACGAGCACCGAACGTACTGGAGTGGTAGATAGTGGTCCGGGCAACAGGTTGCGTAACTTCGAAGAGCTGACACGTAACGTAACACTCGGGACATTAATCTTTTTCAATAGAATTTGCTAGGTGTACGCAAATGCCAGCGCCTCTTCTTGCCGATCGAACAGAACTGGTTTCCGGCGAAACTTGGTTCAATGAGGATTTTTCTTTTACTCGTAATAACATAACGAATTACAACTGAATTTTATACAAGTTTTATGCTGGTCTATTTCATGGTGTATGCTTCGCTTTGTTACATGTATGTGGAGGTATACGCATTCAATATTTCATTGCCTATTTTAGTTCGATATTCCTTTTAGAATTTTGCGCTTTTGCTACAAATAAATATAGACTATTTTTCTAGGTATTCGAATATTTTATCAAAAATCAAACTAAAATTCCGGGTATATATTTACCTAATAGCAATATCAGTAGATATAAACTAGTAATAAAGATAACTTATAAAAAGGGTGGGTGCATGTACAACGCATGTATGATATATTTATACTTATTCTCACTACATTTTTTATGAGTTTTTTTTTCGGTGTGTAAATTTGAGACCTAATAACATCAAGAGAATTTTACGCACGTGGCGAATTAATAATGAAGTTGCCTATGTACGTGTTTGCACAAAACTGCGGAATCCTGTTAAAAATTGGATAAAAAAATCGAACTCGAGAGCCGAGATGAGTTGTTCTGTAATTCGTGTCGAGCCATAAAAAGGCACAAAAAACATATGGCCGTACATGAATTTCGCATGCGACTCATTGCGAAATATGTAGGTACATACGTTTTTTTTTTCTGTAAAACAACGAATTATGAGATTGTTACAATGTTTATTGGTTGTATTGTATTACATTTCGTATACGAAGTGGGTTCGGTATATTTCACAGTCGCAGAAAGAAACGCATATCGTTTACTTGGGATTTCTTTTGTGAAATTATACCTCGCAGAAATTGTTCTTATCAATGCAAATTACTTCATGAAACGGTTTAGATTTTGTTATAATTTTAAGTTACCTACTTAACTGACTCACTACTATTGTTCGAAATATTTATTAATGTCACAGAAACCTACCGGTTTTGCATAATGACCCCGATTTTTTTCGTTAACACCTTATTTACATTACGTCTACATATTTTACAGTAGCGCTCGATTCAAATTGGTTTATACCATTCACTTTTTCCGGTATTCATAATGTCAACATTAAATTGAGAGGTGGTCCTGCATGTTAATTCAACACATGGATTGATTTATTTATTAGATTTGAATTATTATTATTCAACACATTTTAAGACAGAGAAATATAAATAATAAAAGGTTCTTTATTGAATATAATTCAAAATGAAGAGAATCTCTTGTTTTGCCAATCAATGTTACAGAATTATAAAAAATGCAATAGGAACTAATGTAGCAATATTAAAAAGTTAACACTTTATCGAAACGTAAAGGTAAGAGATCTCTTCGTGTAATCGGAATTTCGCTGCGTATGAATTGCTTATCGGCCGAATCCATCGAAGTGAATGACTAACTAACTCTTCACGCTTATTAAAATCGTTTAGGTAATTCCTAATTAAGTCGTGTAGTTGACCGCAGATGCTTCTTGCGCCTTTGTTCGCTTTTTTTCCCGACCTCATTGTATAAATGTCGACCGCTAGTGTGCGTTACGTAAAGACGGGTCGTGAACATTATTTTTTATAGGCGTAATTATCGTAATTTCGGTTACGTCGGACATGTGTCCGTTCCGCGCGAAATGCAAATGATTTTCTCGGGTTTTTCGCCGCTGGAGTTTGGGGTACTTTCGGAATGCTGTACCTTGTATCCGAGCCGATTTTTTTTCGTTTAAACTCTTCCAATGGCTTCCATTATAGGTCGTAGGTAGGTAGGTAAATACTAGCGTTAGTCGACGATTACGACATTAAAATTGGTTTGATATAAATTAAGATACTGTATAAACAAGGAAATAGTTAAACTAGCCATTAGAAACAATAACAAGAGAACCATTAATCAATAGGTGTTTACAGTGGTAAACTGTGCATGCGGAGTGTGCGTAGGTCGTCGATGATTTCTTTTTCGCTCTTGATCATTTTCGTAACGCAGTCGATAAATCAAAAGAAATCAAGATAAAGTAACATTTTATCTAGTTTTATACGGTGAGGTTCCAAAACCGTTTCATCTTTAAACTCTATCAACTTTCAACAGGGCTTTCTACTGCAAAAAGCTTTGATTTTAGAAATGATATGATATTCGAAAGGTATAAACCATTGGTCATCATTTGCAACTATTCCAGTCGCATATTGTAGGTATACGTAGGTATACAACAGGTTCACGGATTTTATGCTGAATGTCACCGGAAGCAATTATTGATTTATGGATGTAGATGAACATAATGAAGTAAAAAGAGACACAAATGTGTCATTAGCCTATCTATTTATTGTCGAATGCGGTGCCTCGAAATATGAATGAGAAACATTATAAAATGGCTTATCAAAAGGTTGCTGCGTGTTGTTCGCATAGCGGTACATTTGAAATTTGATTTATAATTAAGTAAATTTTTACGAGATATGAATCACGTTATATTTTATATACAAGGTTATTTATTACACCTATACTTATTATTTTGTGCTTATGTAATTATATTTAGCAGGTTCCTGACAGTTTGTATATAGATTTTTCTCGCTGTAATTATTCGCCATTTTCGCGTAATTTCGTTAATTAATATTCCGTATTATGAAATTCATCATAATTACGGCCGCATTAACCCATTATTAGCGTTACTAGAAATTTACAAAGGGTTATTTTCACTCATTGCCTCGTTTTTAAAGCCCTCAAATGACTTGTATAGGGCGCTTCAGGTGGTGCAATTACGACCATGACAATTCTCTAATACGCCAATTAAATTTATTTGGTTGATAAGAGCCGTAATTGCGTCATTAACAGGGTCTGTTTAATTATTGTTCCGGTAATATTCGTTATAGTGAAAAAGCTATCCAACCAACCTATTACCTGATTTATTTGGTTCGAAAAAATAAATAATCCTCTCTAGCTGTACGAAACAGTAGGTAGGTGTCTATTTAGATATTTAATAAATAAAATTCTGAATTTTTATCACGTGTTAATTTATTCAGGATACATAAATTTCCTTTAATGATCTATATTGTATTAATTTTTATTGTCAATTAAATTTAACGCTGAGAAGAATCTATTTCGAAATATTAGAACATTTTGTAATAAATGTTTATGATTGTGTTTATAATTTTATTTATTAATTTCATCAATGTTTATCAATAAATAAATCAATGGTTTATTGTTTGTTGTCTACTAATAACTATATACAGGGTTGCTTTTTATGGAAAAATCTAGTAATAGCAATATAAATAATTGATTTAACGTTTGATGATTAATTAATATCTTGTAATTTTTAAGTTTGTGATAGTTTTCCGAGGAGCTTAAATATTCTAATAATCATCCTGTATTTTAATAAGTATATATTTATGTAATATTTTTAGATAAAATAGTGCATCAATTACTTCCTGATAAAAATGCTCATAAGTTCATTTACCCCAAAACCGTTGATTAATTAATCGAAATAAATAATAAATCCAGAGCAAATACAAAAAAAAGAGTTACAAAATTTTCACTTGAATTTATATTTTTATTAGAAATTCGAATTGAACGCATCACTTCGTGTACTCGAAGGCGCTGAAGAAACTAATTACGCATCACGATTCAGACGGAAATCGTGACTCTAATAGTAGACCAATGCAAACGAAACGCCCTGTATATGATCCGACTTTGATTAGGGTGCTCGAAGACGGCGAAGAATGCACCGTGTATTGCAAAGTGCACACCGGTTATGACATAGATACACCTTTCGCGAGCCTTCGGAGTTTATCCAATCGGTCATTACACGGATAGATGGCGATTATATGGGTTATTGCTGGGACGATCAAACGATTTTGCTCGATTTGTAGGTGTGCATATGTAGGTTTCTAGAATAAACTAGATAATATGCTTTCACCATCAATGCAACATTGCACTTTTTTGAGAGGTTAATGATGTTTTATTTGAATAGTTACACTCATTAGTAGGAAGAGTCGATTATTCACCAAATGGAACCCACAAGAGATCAATTTATCTGCCCAATTATCTACGTAAGAAAATCACTTCTATTCTTTTAGTAGTAATTAAATGTACCTAATGATACCTAAATTTTATCTACTCTAGCTAATAGAGCCAAACAAGGAATAAGAGAACCTTTACAAAAGTCTAAATATAGATAAGCCAAGTGAAGATATTGTATAATAAAAGTGAAAATGAACTGTATAGCAACTCGTTCAAAGATTTATTGTATAACATTTCTGCACGTCCTTTGTAAATTAGCTTTACTACCATAAACACGGTAATTAAGAATAATTAGAATGATTCGAAACCAGTAGGAGATCAAACTAATTAGTCGGATAGTCGACGGATACAATAGTTACAACGTGCGCGCGTATTTTTGATTGCTTCGAAATAAAGATTCAATGAGATAGTGCGGGTCGTTGTTATAGAATGATTTTTATAAATGATTTCGAAGCAGACGACGCGACGAGCGAAATTAATTTCGAAACGTTGATTACGGTGATTTCGAACTTCCAAGGGTAATTTCTTTTAATGATCGAACGGAATGAATTTTTCCCGTGTAAGTATCGTACAATGTGCTCGAATTGAACCTGCCGGAACCGATTCCTCCTCTTGGCAAATATTTGTTTTCTCTCTAACGTGGTCGTTTTCATTAATACAGTTTAAGAGTCCGTCGGCTTTCCGAATGTTCATTTTCGGTCGACCGCAACGTGGAAAGAACGGCCATTGCGGTTTTCTCTTCTCTTCCATCGGATCTCTCGTGTGTTTGCTCAATGCTACAATGGACCGATGGTCTCGTGGAAATTTCTTGCGTCGTAAACTAGTGCATGAGCGGCATTAAAACTCGGCTCGTTTCGAGTGAGTCATTTATTTTAATTAAAACGAAACTAATAAAAGTATTTGTCGCGTTTTTTATGTCGAATGCATCGTCTACGAACAGCTGTCGTACGTTTAGTGGGAGATAAAATTTTATTTTTTAATCCCATATGCTACCGAAAATGCGACGGTGTGGTTAAAAATAGAGTTTTGCTGGACCGATGAGGTGGTTAAGTAAATTGGACGAAATTAATAAAATGTACGTTCTTCTTACCTACTTTCATTATTTCTTGGTTTTAAACAATTCTATATTAATGCGATTTTTATGATTACAGTTGGTTCTTTTACTTAACGAGCTGCTGTTTATGTGTTTTTTATGTACCATTACTTTATCAGTATAACAATGTTATAATTTTTGTCCCTCTACACGAACATGCTGTTAACGTTGAGGTCCTCCTGCGGCGGTTTTAAATTTCATTAGCTTAGTTAAGAGTGCATGATCGTTGCCATATTGCACCGAAATTTGTATTAAAATTTATTTAAATTAATGCCGCCGACTGATGATGCAGAGGTATTTTTATTCCGGCTTCGTTACAAAGTCAAATGAAATTCGGCGTTTTATTCGACCATGCAGCGCGTGCTGCAAATTAAGTGAATTACGTTAAATATTGTAAAATTATGCGATCCGATACGGCCCGTGTGGAAACATGTGTTGATTTAAATGTATCCTCCGTTCTTCCTGTTTCATTTTAATTCGGTACAATAGGGGTGATTACGGTTATATTTATTCGGAAAATGAAGTGAAGAATTTATAAATTTTTAACGTAATTAATTACTAGTCGAAAAGTTTTACCGTTGAATTGAGTTAATCCTTTTTGCAAGCGAAAAGTTCGCCTTGCATCGGAAGTTTTAATTAACTAATGACATGAAACAATTTTAAATTTGTCCGGTACATATTTAATTAATTAGAACTTTTTGTTAGCGCACTCACGGGGTCCGACCCAGAAAAGTCATAACTACTGAACCGGCCAAACGAAATAATATGTAAAATGCAAGCAAAAAAATTCGTTTAAAATTTAAATTCTAAAATGGAAGTAAGAGGTTTTATAAATCAGTAGAACAGAAAGTTCTTGGAAAACTTATTACAGAGTATTTATAATACAAATACTCTAAAGATGTGATGACTTGCAGATAATTAATTAATACTCTTTAATGTATCAACACCCTTTGGGACCAAATTATTTTACCTAATTAAGCCAACCTACCCCTTGTTTGAGCTTCGAGGGCTATCGCAAACGTATTTGCAAACAACAGTATCGTTATTATTGCGTAGTATTCTTCCAATCCTGTTCCGTTTCGAGTCCATCATCGATTTATTACAGTTTTAATTGGCTATCTAAAAACAAAAGACGTGAGCGGAACAGGTGCTCCCTCTTGTAACAATCGCATCGTGGTTGCGAAGTCGGTATAATTGCTTAAGAGGATAAGACCAAGGAGTACAAATCTTCCATTTATTGTCCTCTACATGGTTGTAGGATGTAGAGATAGTAGGTACCATTTCTCGTGCACTTCTGGTATGGGATATTTCTGCTTCAACACTTGCTTCATTTTGTAGAGAGAGTGAAATAAAGATGGTGAAAAAAACGCACTGTAATTTTACAGCAATTGGAAGTAATGTAATCCGCATACGAATCCTCTTAACGAACAAATACCCATCCAGTAACTCTTTCCTAGATTGTCTATCAGTATCACAAAGTTATTAGTCGAGGACCGTATATCATTTCATCGTAATTGGTCTATTGTTAACAGGGTTTCCTCGTAAAAAAGCGATCGGGACCGTTACGTTTTAGTTGGTCGGTTGGTCTCCGATCGTTCGGGTATATTTGATCGAACTTGACAATTCGGTATTTTTATCGGCGATCTGGAAGACCCACATGCTCGATTCGTTTCTCGATAAAACTTAAATATCATGCTCAGTGATTTGTTTTATTGTTCGGATTCGATGGATTTGATAAATGAATCGAACCGGGAGCCGGCGTGCGGCCGCCCGAAAGCCACACGGTCCATGAACCAAAACGCGATAGAAAAATTGATGATGCTATAACTAATGAAGGTGAGCGTATTGATAGGTAATTATCCTGCAACGTTGCCACGATTTTTACACTACATTTTTATCTTTTATGGTTATAAGGATATAGGATTATATTGTTAATGAAAATGTTTTTAATTTATGAGATAAACCTTCCTTTAGATGATGTCTTCATTAAAATTCAACGAATTTCTCGACTTAATTTCAAAGTAAACCAGACATGGAAGACCTTCGTTTGGCAAGCAACAAAACAGTCGTTTTTATGCTGCTCATTTAAACTCCGAATCGGCAATTTGATATTCCACCGGAGGAATTAGTCCGCGCCTGAATTTCTCGTGGGGCCTTTCTAATTAAATTTATTTCCTCCGTACGATGAAAAACTCGGGCGAACTAAAAAAAACACACATTCCTTCAATTTTTATCGAGGCTCCAACCCTCGAGAAAGCGCCCCTACGGCTTTTACCTCGCAACTATCAGGTATACTCGACGTCCTTAAATTGCCTAGAACGAATTTTTCGAATAAGGACCTTCAAAAGGAGCACGTCGCGAGGTTAAACTAATTTATTACTTTAATAAGCCGAAATTTACGGAGGGTAATAACGTATAAAAGCGCTCTTAGGGTCCATTGATGCGTTCACCTAACGATATTCTGTACACCAGGATATTATACAGTTTGTTAGGTTTACTCCAAGTGATAATTATATTACAAGTATGGGGTAATAAGCATGGTAATTAAAATTCAAATTGGCAGTAACAATATGGTTAAAAAAATCATATTATTTTCTGCTATCTTTCACGACTTTCAGATGCTAAAAAGTTGTGATCTTCGTCACTTTTCATCGAACTTGTTACATAAACGTATTAGTTTGAGCTTACAAAACGGTCTTGTTGCTTTGGCGAGATCGAAATTTGATTACACTTTCCAGCTGCCGCCTTCGAAGAGAGTGAAGGCGAAGTAAGGTAGTTATAGTGTTAGCCACGAGGAAACTATGCTAATTCGGATACCGTTCCATCGCAAATTACAGGGTACGATGTTGACGTGGTCGGATCCGTGTACCTACCATACGTGCGCTTGTGGAATATTAGATTATGTTGATGTTATTCACTCCGGGGTACGGTTTTTTTTCCGTTTGTTGAGATTCGGTTTGTTTGTTTCGAATCATTGTAATCGAGTGGATTCTGTGCGATTTGTGAATAGTGCGGTGTTTACTGGCACGAAAAGATTTCACGACGTGCAAGAGAATGCGGGTTTGGGCTAGTTAAATTATCAGCGTAAATAAGATTGAGTGTACGTCTAACAAAAATGATGAATTATTGCGTGAACTGTATGAGATCTTCTGACTTATGACCATTATATTGTTCTTATAGAGAGATTAATATGCTTTTCATTGACAAAAAAGATTATTTTAAGTGCAAGCTTTATTGGATATCTTTCTGTGGTTCAATTTAAAATATTTATCAATCACTTTTTATGTACCTATGAATGTAATTGGTTGGAGTAACAAAATAAAATTATGTATTCTAATCAATTTCATTTACATTAAAAACATCGGTTCGTGAACGAAAACAAATATTTATAGCTTTAATAAATCTTCTTTATTGAGTAAAAATTGTAACCTCGTAAAAACAGTAACTTTTATAACCATTTTTATTAATTTCTACGAGTTTTATTGCGATTGAGTTGGAAGATAAGAACGCCGTTTTTATTACTTCCTAAGCGATCCATTTCGTGTCTTGTAACACTTGACTGGATTGTTTTGTCTCTCAATTAATACACTAGAAAAAATACTACTTAAATTTTCAAACAACTGAATTCATCTACCTTTTTAAGTACCTATTTTATTATTGTCTTGTGAATTCACTTATCGTCATCACATCTCGTTTTCGTTAAAAAACTAATCGCTAAAAACTAACTTCTTGCGACTCTATTTTGATCATCTTCAGTTCGATAAAAGTGTATTTTTCTAGTGTATTCTTCGAAAAATCCCTGAAAACCATTCAACTCTATGTTTTTCCATTTCCGATAAAATTTATTACGGCGATAAAATGACACGCCAGTAATAAAATGACACCGCGGATCATCTATTGCTGTGCGCTTTAAGAGTCCTATTCTCTTCTTCTGCAAGCCATAAGCGTAACGTTAAATTCTCGAAATGCAACAACGGTTAAACGGAAAGAGATGTGTAAGATTGTAAATGAGTAAATGATATTAATCTTCAAACGCTACTTCACTGGATTCCATTCGCCTATTCCTCGTCGATAGGACATTGAAAGGCCCTTTTTGTACAAAATGGAAAAGGGGATGAAAATAGGGGACTTCCTATATTTCATCACTTTATGTAGACTAAATTTCCACTCTGCTAATCCCATCAAATGTCTATTGTATAGGGTGGTTTCAATAACACAGCTAATTTTAAAATCTCTTTAAAAGTTAATATTTTTTAGAGAACTGTACAGTTTTTAACAAAACGTTTGTTAACAGAACGGTTCTGATATATTTATACAATACTTTCATCCTTGTATGTCACGTACCTTTTTTGTTAAAGAAAGAGATTTTTTTATTACCCACAAATTTCAAATCTAAGCGTCCGCATCCATTCGCTTCAATTTAATTTCCTTATTTATGCATTTATATTCGAATAAAAAAAAGTTCGTATGTGCGTTTCCGCATGATACGCGCGCGTCTCCGTTTCCGATTTCAATATAAATTCCACAAAGGCTCCGGTACAAAGAGCCTCCTCTCCCTACATGTTTACAGGCGGCATCTGGGGGTGTGCATGTGCATGTGCCCGCGTGCTCGGCGTACGTCATAATCATTCGGCACGACTGCTTCCGAATATCTGGATTTCCTCGAAATCGCTTCACAAATAATCAATAATACGCAGATGTAAAAAATTATTTGATATGGTGCAAGTAAATAAAAAATCTTGTGACGTCACCACCAAATTAGCGCGAAGCTATTATAAGTAAACGTTTGATGAAGCTCCATGTAAATTTTTATCGCATAATCAGTATTAAAATAACCGTTGAATCCCAAATTAATTAGTTGAATTACAGTAATTTTATCACGTGAAGATGTTTTTTTGCATTGCTAATGCCTCTCGAAAGGCACGAATTCGCGTTATCGCGATCAAACAAACCGAAATTCGAATCTTCTTACTTGCGATTGTACGACCCAAAATATAATCAAGATTATACTATTCCCGATTCCGTAAAGTTTTCAATCCTCTAAACTGATGCCCTCGTTTCGAGAGCAAACTCTGCGATAGGGTTCTGTCTCTATTAAACTCTATCCGGTGTATGATATGACCGAAGTTAGGCTTTGCTTTTCGGATCGAGGACGCGATAATCCGATACGGGGAGATTAGAATTTTGTTTTAGACTTTAGAATCCGGTGATCAGGTGATGACTTCGCATTTGTGGGTCCTTGAATATCGCCTCGGAAGGCCTCAGATGGGTGCCGGTGATTATATTAGACACACGAATTTCATTACACTTGGGTTGTTAAACTTGGCTAATTTAACTACCGGTGCGTGCAGGAACGCTTGTTAGTTATTAATGGAACATTTCAGGAAACTGAAGATGTTTTTTTCGAATAAAAAATTTTAATACAAAAATTAGAGCATATAAAATGATATACAGTGAGATTAAATTGAAGCGTTAAGCCATAAAATACCCTGTGGAAAAAACGATCCACCCCCTGTGGGCCATTATCCCTTATTAAATCTACGAGGGGGTGAAATATCAGCGACTTCTATTAAAAAAATGTAAATGAAGGGTATACTCATCACATACCATCTGCTTCTAAATAACCCGTAATGAGGAGATTTCTCGTGCAATATCCCCGAAATTAATGAAACACGCCGTTTAGTTTAAACATGTCTGACACATACCCACAAATTTACTTCAAAATCACCCCTCAATTACGCAGTGAAATTGGAAAAGCCATCAGACCGGATTGGCCGGCTACCCTCGCATAACCTACGGGCAGTATGTGGCAAATCGAAAAGTTTCATTCACTGGTGTTAAAAAATATATATTTTTTGTTACAGGAGACAACAAAGTAACACGACGTGGCACGGCAGTCCCGTATCGGGATCGCAGAGCCCCAAAGTCACCCCTGAGAGACTGAAGGGCACCACGCAGGACCTCTTCGATCTGCTCGAAAAGGCCCAAAGATCCAGAATCGACGACCAAAGATGTATGCTACCTTCTAGTTTTAATCAGGTGAGTTTCCTATACATTTCAATCGAACGATACCGAGAGCAATTGACGATTTAATCATAAATAAACGCCCACGAATTGTGTTCGTCGATGACACGACCATTTATCACGCTCTCTATACTAGGTATTAGCGCGTTCTTTCGCTCGAATCGGTTATGGGTTTTGAAAATGCGCGCAATGTTGTACTACAACAATATTCGTAATGACTTTCTAAGATATAATTTATCTAGCAGGAATTCGACTTTCATTAAGTTATCTAACTTCAAATATTTATTTACTGGCTAATCTAGCTAGAGGTGGAAGTTTATTTCCTATAAATAAGACCTTTTTTTAGTGTAGAACATTGTTTGTAAGTAATATATTGTAATTTCTTATGAAGGGTTTATATCCAATATAAAAACGAAAAAATCACAATAATTTACGTTATATTTCGGGACACCCTATATAGTTGCGGTCAGGAAAAAGTACCTACGGCCATTTTAGAGCAGATGTCGCCCGAAAGAAAAGGGCAAATTAAGAAGAAAATTATGCAATTACTCATATTATAGATTAATTGCCGAATTTGGAATAGGAGCAGGGTACTAAGCAGATGGTCCGCTTCCTATGCGATTTTGATTTGACAAACAATAACCCTCGAATTCGGCTTTATTATACATGTACACATTAGTGTACCTACACCCTTTTATTAGGGCATTCAGGGTGATTTTTGACAAACGACGTAATTGCGGCCTCAATGAACTGGTGCAATCTTATATTGTCCTATGCATTTAACGAGGGGACCCTTAACAATGAATAATTATAAAACTGTGAGCGATAATACAGGGTATCAAAAAATTGCTGAAGAGATTGAATCTAAAACACACTCTTATCATGTTTAGCAGAAATATGATTAATATTATACATCTCCCAAAAGGTTGAAGTGAAAGTAAAATTTCTTGAATTGTAGAAAGAAGACATCAAAAAAAATTCCACGTCTATCACCATTTTGACATTTGATAGACATAAATAAATGAAAATTTGAGGGGTGGTTCCCGAGTGGCGACAATAAAATCAAATTTGTTTCCTGTTATTTTACTGTATAGCGTCACGCTTTTCCCATTCCTTTTCGTGCACTATCCGATTATAGAAAGGAGCTCCTTCGTTCCAAAGAGAATTACCCTTCGGTTAGGAGATTCAAAACTTTCTCGAATTCGGTAATTTGATCCTCGGTATTGTCTTACCACTTCGTATAAAGGTTATGTCTGTGGAAGACAACTGGCGTAAGTTCGAGGGATCGATCGAGACGACGTTAAAGAATAAGAATGATGTCAATGATGTCTAGACTGAGATAAAATAACATAGGAGTCTGTTGTAATTTTTTAACAGTCATAACATGTTTAAATGTGACATTAATTGATTTTGTTCGGTAGGATTCATTCATTAAAGCCTTGTAGATTATGTAGGGAGATTGTTGCGATTTTTTCTCTTTTAGCAAAAAAAATGGTTAGGTTTTATTAATCAAGTTTTAATTAATTCTAAAATAGGTTTTGTAATATCTGTATAATTTAACTCATTTAATCAGTATACATATCTACCGTTATTTAACTTAGTAATTTAATGTTGAATAAATTGTTGTAATAATTATAATTATCGATAAGAACATAAAGAGTAAGACACTGAGACGCTGTTTATATCATTCAAATAAGAACAAACTTATTGATTTGCATATTTATCTCACAATTCAAATTTTACATAACAAGAAATTAGGTATTATACGCGCAAAGGTTGAACTTTATTTACTCCGATATAAATAATTATAGAGATGGGAAACAAATATTAACCAGCTACAAAATGACATAAAGTGCCGAAATATGCATTAAAATTCAGCACCAGCACTTTGAAATTTGGAAAAGGGCACCCGTAAAGTTAAATATTAATATTTATTATTACCATTGCCAAGTGGGGTTAAATCACAATTAATGAAATATCTCGCTCACGCCTGATGATTTATATTTGAACGAAACGCTCGTAAATTTTGATATTTTAATATCCGGTTGAGTTCCGGTATTGCCGAAACAGTACGTGACGTGAGAGCAATTATGTATTAACCCCCCCTTTCATATTCCATCTATCTTGTTTCGCAAAACTTTAAAAGCAGCCTAATTTTTACTACTTTAAAAAAATGCCAATCTTTAAAAGTGCTGCTAGTATTTAATTAATATTGCGGGTAAAAAAATTACATTCGTTAGAAAATACCTATTAACTTTCTTGTAGAATATTCTTCTTTTATTTCTTGGAGCTTCTCTATATTTAAAAGACGCGAGTATAGGTATAAATACACTCCATGAAATACGTTTATCTAAGAATTTAACTATTTATTTTTGGCATTTTATACCTTTTTTTTCTGAACTATCTCTCAGAGTGTTTGAGAACGTGAAAGGAATTCGAAATAGATGGATCTCCGGAATAAAACCGAGACGAGAATGATTGGAAATGAAAATTTCAGTAAGACTGGAACTGGCGTGGATTGCGAAAGAGGAGAACCGTATAGTTGTTTGTTCGGCGATAAAATAAAGAATTCTTTATAGTTTTTAAATTGTTCGAGACGTACAGAAGGTTGTTTTAAAATGTATCATACATCCAAAATTTGACAGTAATCTCTCCTTTTTTTATTCTCTTCGCATAAAATGAAGCCAGTAATTTTCACATGTATCGTGCTCATTTAAATATAGTTGCAGAATATTTCAGTTACAGTTATATTAGGAACTAAAAGGAAAAGCGCGATATCGAATGCATAACGTTGATGGCTTTAATAATTAATTCTAATAAAGTAGCACGTGCATCTTCATCAAACGGCAATTCCAACACCAAACTATTACAATCTATGACACCAAAGCTAATTAGAAATAACGTCATTATAAATAGCACAATGCAAAATAATTCTGTTTCATATGCCGTAGCGGTTAATAAATTTCAGACGAAATGCCGATGTTAACGAACTCTTTAATTGATTTGTTACATTTTCAATACTCTGGCTGAAGAATGGCGAAAATGATGTAACGAAAATAATCGGGTATTTAACGAAACAATTTAACCATGCCTACGTATTTATTAATTAAGGACCTTTTGTATTTTCTCGACCATTGTGAATTAAATTTTCGCACTTGTCAAAAAAATGCTACATCACCCTGCGTAATTTATTTTGCTTCTTATTGAGAGGATGTGTAATGTTTTTTTTTATAAATTCAGTTCGGCAAGTGTTATTTTAATGTAATATGCCTGTAGATTTAATTGCTATTTATTTTAATTACGGTATTATGATGAAATAGTATTACATTTAATTTGTTGTAATAGCTATTCCAAAGAAAGTAACGATTCTCCCATCTCTAGATTGTAAATAGGAAACCATTATATTGTGATTCATCCTGTTGCGGTTAAATAACCTCCGGTGAATTGTGATTTACACTGCACAATTTTGTACAAATCTAGATAAGAAATAGAATTTTCATGAATATAATTCAAAAATTAAATATCCTCCGGCTAATTACTATCATTTTATTCGGTGTTTCGTTATTATTTATTGAGACGGCGATAAACAAACCTGCACACCAGGAAAAACATTGACCTACAAAAATTGGCTGGGCTACTTTTTAACACAGTGCATGCTCAAAAATCTCCTTCACTAATTAAAGAAAACTCTTCATTAATCTTTTTTAAGGTTTTGTAAACTGAAATGTTATGCACAACAATATAACTAAAATGTAATTAATGTCACTACTAACACAAAATGTGTCCCGAAATGTAATTTTAACTGATGCTGGATTATGGATATCTCTCCCTAAGGGCAGATCGGTTGGCAATATCAGACCTTTACACACGCAATTTATGCCCCAACAGCAGTGTATGGTGCAGATACATCTGGCGAGGTGCTAAAATATGTATGCAATTCTGTCTTGCGTGTAATTGGAACTGATATTAATCGTTAATTAATTCAAATTAACAATGCCTCGTCTACTAACAACTAACCACATGTATTTTAATTTCATTCCTTTAGAATACCATACTTAATCGTGCCATCGTTTACAAATTAAAGTGAACACACTATATGCATTTGTCGAGCATCCGCCATTCGGTACATATATCAAATTCTTCAAATACATCTCCGTTTACATTGAAACGAATGTGTGCAGCAGGCTATACCGATCTTTCTCTGGCTCTCTTCGAAGATAGGAATCTATTGTTGGGTCTTTCTGGTGACTCACGGTTCGCGTTACGCATTCGTTTCGGGGTAGAAAGCGTCCGAGAAAAAAGTAAAAAAAGCAGGTACGTTCGAGGATTCCTTATAATTTTAGCGACGAGCAGGATCAGTCTCGGATGTGCGCGAATAGATGAATCGTAACGGAATATCGCGTGCTCGTCGTCGCCTTCATGTTTTACCTCGGGACGAATAAAGAATTCGACTGGAGATCGAAGGTATGTCGTTTGATTAGGTTTAATAACGAGCGAAAATTGAAAGCGATTAAGTTAAATTGAAAATGAATGTCGCGTTTTACCTTGCATTAAAACGATTGTTCGGTATTTTACAACGTTTTGTAATCGACAAACCGATTGCGTTTCTTCTATTTTATTATTTTAATTCGTTTAAATGTATTTTCTGAGTAGGTAAGTACAAGTTTGAATGTAGGTGTTTGTGGGTGTTTATTGTACTTATATACAGGATCATATAAGAATGCTCAATTAGATTTATTGTAGAGGTATAATTTTGAATCGTCATTTCTATACGATCCAAATAATGACTTAAAGGCTGTTAATCTATTTCTAAATACTTAATACAGTAATTCTTTTATCTGTTGCAAACGATTTGGAGCCTTGAAGACCGAAGAAACCGGTCGTACGGGATTGAATTATAAAATCTTCTCGGTGACCATCCATTCATAATGATTTTTATTACTTACGTCAAATACCAAAATCTGAGCGAATTAATTATATCAAATTTATTGAAAAAAAATATTGGAATTCTTGAAAATCGCCCTTGATCCATTTTGGATATGCTTATTTATTGCTGATTAGTAATTTATAGGTATAGGTAAACTGTCGTATAAATATTTTTCTAAATAGGCAATTAGTAAAATGAAGGTAGTAAAATCATTATTTTTTAAATATTTTTATGCTACAAATAAATACGATTAAATACTGCAACTGCATTTACTAAAGTAGGTACTCTTACAATTTTATGACATACAAAAAAACGATAAAGAAAATATTTAAATCCAATCCTGAAATTCGTAGGCGAATATCGTTGTAGAATTAAGTCTCGTATACACACATATCGGTAATACATAAGTTAATGCTTGCATTCAACCATAAATACCGACGATATGACTGGTAATATCGAAATGAATGAAATTTATTAACATTTTGCCAATTCGACCAGAGAGCTTGCTCAAGAAATTGTTCGAGATTTCGAATGCGCAATTGATTATTTTCATATTTTTTGCACAAACAACGGTAATCGCAACGATACCGATCTATGAATTAAATAAAAGACTCTTTCAATAGTGGTAGAAAC